TCTACCTCCCTAACCACTCGGACACTCTTTCATACTATTTTATCTTTGTCAGGATTGGACCCGTTGGTTTGAACCTATAGATTTCATCTCGCACTTCACTTGTTGCGATCGGCGCCGCTTAAACGGACGAGGCCATCAAAGAATGTATGCAAGGTGCCCCGGAGAGACCGAAACGGAAGTTAACGGAGATGACCGAGCATATTCCAGCCTCCTCCACCTTGCTGAGGAGTCCTCAGTGAGGAGTTGATGTCCCAAGTGTTTGAATAGACGTGCTCTGGTCTCGAACTTGTGATAGGCGTGTATTATTTTCGAATCGCCCCGACATTACATCATGTAATTCCTGAATGACATACCATGTAATCTACGTGATGCACGTTCCTCAAGACCCCAACCTGAGCATGCTATGCATTCGATCCTTGCCCACCAATGTTTTAGCGAAGCACTTAGTTGCTTGGTTTCTGGTCGCGAGCAGCGTGTTCAAAAAAATCGCTGCTTTGAACGACACCCCGACATTACATCATGTAATTCCTGAATGACATGCCATGTAATCTACGTGATGCACGTTCCTCAAGACCCCAACCTGAGCATGCTATGCATTGGATCCTTGCCCACCAATGTTTTAGCGAAGCACTTAGTTGCTTGGTTTCTGGTCGCGAGCAGCGTGTTCAAAAAATTCACTGCTTTGAACGACAGCGGCAGGATTCGAACCTGCGCAGGCAGAGCCTAGTGGATTTCGAGTCCACCTCCTTAACCACTCGGACACGCTGTCACATAGATAATACAAAGATCTGCGCTGCTCCAAAGTTCCCCCTTGGGGTCTGTATTCTCGCTACGACTGGTCTTCAATCCCGACTAGAGATCGACAATGACAACATTAAAGCCTCCGTGAAGTTCACGGCATGAACAGAACCCATTCAATATCGGTTTTGGTCTCGTTATTCGCTCGAACAACTTTTCAGGAGGAAATTCTGAAGGCTGTTAAAGTCTGACTTCAGGATTCGTTTACGGACTTCGTAAGCAAGTTAGAAATGCTCGATAACTAGGTAACAAAACGCACAATTAAAAACGAAAGGTATCGCAAGAGTGTCAAATTGGTACATGATAGGTCGAAATCTGATCTACATCAGGGGACGTGATAGCGAAACTCCCTGAGAGGCTAATAACAGTGCCTGATGCTCTTATCAACGATGCGCCCAAGCCCACGGCGTGCATCCAGTGATTGAAGCTTGGGCTCCCAACCCAGTCCATCAGAATGACCTAACTGCTCGTCACTCACTGCCGAGTGAAGTAGATGGGGAATGGATACTCAACCCAACAAGATAGGCCTTGAGAGCAGTTTATCCGATTTCAGTCACCACGGTGAGGCTAATGAAGTGGCTTCCACCTCATCACCGATGGTATTCATTCCATCTGATATCACCTTACCATTGACTATCACGCAACAATCAGTAACGATTGGCTAAATGCACTACAGAATCTCTCGGACTTTGAAGAATCACAAATCGAAACACTAATCAACCACCGAGGAGTATGTAGCATAGGACAATAAAGTTACAACGACAGTGCAGCTAGCGACGGGCCTCCTTCAGCCCGGCCAGGTCTTCAAGTACCCAGTAAGGAGGGTACCAACTCCAAACATCCAGAATAGCAGCCGTTCATACAAGAGAGCATCGACGACTGAGGTAAAATGGGCTCCCACTGATGATTGACTTCTCGCCTAATGGCTGTATGTTGATCGCCCGGTTGCCACTTCAAAGTCCGCTCTTCTGGCTGAGACCTTCTGTGGCAGCGAGTTCCGGCGATTTCGCCCGCTCGATCGTTGGCCCTTCCTATTACCAGGGAGCATCGGAATAAGCGCTTTCGTCTGAAGTTCGCTTTCGGCCTCCAGGTGGGACTGCGCAACTGAAGGGCTAGCAAGTCCCAAATCTTCATCTTCACTCGTTTCCTCAGCCCAGTCGAAGCTTGTCGACATTCTGAGCTTTTGCTCCATCCTTTCTCCCCGACTCGGCTCGGTACCCGTAGAGTCGCTACTCTCCCTGACTTCCGCCTTTCCTCCCACATCCACCTCTGCCTCCTTACGCTCGTGCACACGAGCCGACCCAGCAGCAGCAGCAGCGTTGAAGGACCGCCTAGCAAATAGAGATGGCCGCCAATCCAAGGCAGCCTCTCGTTCCACCGAGGCATCACTCTCCGCTTCCAAAGCACCACCCATACGAGCCGACTGTGTGTTATCGATCACATTGGCAACCTCATTTGGCCACACTGCGTGGGCGGACCTCCTTGCTGGGTCCATCGCGCCCTCAGGACTTCTCCCGTTGGGTATCCACTCCCCAGCCATATCTTCGCTTGCGTCTCCACTACTCGAGTCGTCGATGGAGCCAACACTTGGAGAGACATGAAAGTCTATCCCTGCAGACCTATTCCTCGGCAGAGGCAATTGCAACTTCGGCACCACCCGCGGACGAATCTCAGCTGCTGGCTCTTCGGTATTCACAGAATAGTCGGGCGAGCGCAACGTCGATAGCGTATCAGCATCTTTACTGATACCAGACATCTCCTCGTCGTCCAGTCGAGCATCCGAAGCCTCGTGTACTGACCATTCACTCTCGCATGGAGTTTCGTCCTCCCGACGCAGACTGGGAATCCAAGCCTCTTCTACCGAGTAAATTCCATCACCATCTTCGCCTTCATCATCATCATCATCGCCATAAACACGGCCATAAATCGGCTCTTCTGTCGTAGTTTCCTCTCGAGAACCACTGTCCTCATCAACACCTGATAGGACTCCTTCCAATAGTCATAATCCTCCCAAAAGAGCACACCTGTGGGAGCCACCACCACTGACTCATCCGGTAGGGCCTGCGGTTTCGGAGGCATCCTCGGAGGCTTGCCAACCACAGC